GGGGGTGAAAACTGCAGGGGTGGTAGCCCCTGGTGAGGCCACAAAGCCTGCCAAGCTTCAAGGAGATAGGTGTAGGAGTTTGGGGGGAACTGCACCTCGAGCTGCTGACAGGCAAAACTCGTGACATAGATGATCCTGTGTGAGTTAAGGTGCAGCGGGCTGAAAACTACAGGCTTAATGCACAGTAGAATTAGTCTGCTGTGCTCAAAGCATCTCATATTAGATGCACCCTAAGAGTACTTTGAAGTCAGTGTCAGGCTGCATGCTATTACTGAGTAAGTAAATGCTAGTCTTTAATCTATAAGTTGCTAAGCCACATTTTTCATAGGTGTAAATGTTCCCACATTGTGTGTGTTGCAGGGGGAAATACTTTTTGGATAACCAAACTGAAGCTAAACATTTAATTAGCATGGACAGGTATAGAACTAAGAAACCTGGGTCATTTTTTCCACACTTCATTCTGAACAGTTGAGTGAGCCCCACTGGGAGAAGCTGATGAAAAAAATATTCGGTTTTTTTAATTTGTATTTTTTTCTGGAGTCAGATGAAACACTAAACAGTAAGATCACTGTCCTTGCCCATATAATAGATCAAGCTGGGAGTGTGCCAGTAATTACAAAGCAGCAGGAACACGTAGTTCTAACTTGTAAAACAATGCAGTGTGCCAGGATAGTTTGGCACTCTGTGGAAGTACACGTAAACCTATGCCAGAGGGATAGGTGGAGGCCCTAGGGATGCTTGTAGTGCAATGAAATGAACATTCTGTCTCAAACAGTCATAAATTGTCTGTAGCCAAAGAGGAGCCATGAATCCTGACTATGAAAATACGTTATTTCTTAAAATCCTTTCAATCACTACAAATCCGCCTCATCAGCTTCAGGGGTACGGTACAGATATAACCTGAATAGAATGTGAACTGAGATGTTCTTATGGATAACACAAAAAACTCTGTCAACACCAGGGGTGTTGTGGATGGAAGAAAACAGTGCTGTAGATCTCTTTGGGACATTTGGTTGTTGTTTTGCACACAGAATATCTGGGGTTTTCACTAGGAGCTTATCCTGCTGAGTCGCTTCCAAATCAAAATATGTCTTGATTGACTCAAGACAGACAATGTGAACTTGCAAGTAAAGACAATGGGGCAAACAGCACCACTGTCTATGAAGGGTGACTTGAAGGAAAAAGAGATGTGCTTAACTGTTGCCAGAGTGAACCACATCTGCTCTTCTTGCAAGCCACAATCTTCTCACACCATTTTAGTCCCTCTGCAGTATATCCAATGTTTCCATACACTTTGGAGCTATTCTGTCCGGTCATTGAGAAAGCAGGCAAAGTTTGCTTCTATGGAATTGTCAGGCTGCATTTACTGTTATGGACAGCATGAATATCAATATGGCCAAAGGCACAAGCTAGCCCTTAATGTGCCAAACCATGGTCCTCACCACCCGAAGCCCTTATTTCATAACCAACCTATTTTTTTTAGGAAACATGAACTTGTATAGAGCTGCTACATTAGCATTGTACTGAAGTGACCCTTTCCATTAGATACCATGCCATGCCACTGATATTCTAGATTACTTATGTCTTAAGTTCTGAATTTCACGGATATTATTTGTTTGAGCCTCAGCTCTACTGTTTAATTTTTTATGGGAAAATTGAGAGAGAGAGAACAAAATGGAAGCCTTTTGGAGTCACAAATGCCCCTTCCATCTTTCCCTCTTGCTTTAAATCAGCTTCCATAGGCTATGCTGCACAGAAGCTCCTGGATTCTTCAGTTCTGCTGTAACTGCCTGCCATGCCTTGCAACAAGAGAAGAAAAAGTAACAACTTAGCACCTAAGCAGACAGAGCACCTACGAACTCACAGTTTGGAAAAGATTCAGCTTGTTGCTGGAGAAATCTAGACCTGGCTAAAAAGTTATTTAAATGTCCAAAACTGGAACAAAAATGTTAGTGCCAATTCACAGCACAAACTGAGCTGAAACTGCTGAGTTAGGTGCAGCCCCTGAGAAAGTTGCTTACAAGAGATAATGCAAAGTCATGCTACAGTTGTATGCAGGATCCTGAACTTTCCTTCTGAGCCTATTCATCTGAATGACACTCTTCATAAGTGTGTCAACAAAAACTGAGCAGGGGATCATGTGTACTTGTCAGTCAGAGGCTGCCTGCCTGGACAACTGTAGATTATGCAATTGCTTTGTCTCCTGGAAAAGTTGGCCCCAGAAACAAACTCCATTAGGCTCATAATGTTTAGTCACACTTTCCCTTTTCCACACAGTCACACATAAGGAGGACCAAAACTGGAACAGACTCAATGTGATGTGCATGCGACGACAGCTGTAACTAACCACCAAACCAAAAAAAGAAGTTTGCCTTCAATAGTCCTTCAGAGCAGGCAACTAAAGTGCAAGCGGCGCTACTGTAATAGTGAGGTGTTTTTCAGTGCAGAATCATAGTATTTGCAAAAATATAATAAAGCTTTTAGTTGGGAAAAGAAATCCCGGGTTTATATATGTAATGTTAGATACAAATTGAGTTTCTTTTATGTAAATCCAGTGGAAGCTGTGTACAGGGTGTCCTAATCTGACCCAGAGAGGGAAAGCACACAACTGCATATCTGAAGAGATGCATACGGATCCGGGGTGGATCCAAGGGCACTGCAGTTGCGCCCCCTTCTTGATTCTTGCTGAACCCAAACTTTAAAACCAACTGCCTGGTTTGAAATAGGTCGTACTGACTGAGTTAATTGGCTTTATGACTCATTAGCATCTACCCCATTCCTGCTAATCTCTCTTGACTTCACAGGTGTTAATGGCTGACTCACCTTTTTAATGGTCTTGGTGCTTCACTATTCAAATTATCTTTTCTTCTGCAGTGTTGCTGTCTGTTAGCCATTTCTGGAAATGTTTCTCTCTTATTTCAGTCCCGCAGGCAGTTTTTAGCTCTAGCTAAAAACCTTAACTCAGGTGTGGTAATTCTCACTCAGGTGTAGAAATGACTGGGGCTGAAGTATTGGAGTCACTGTCAAAAATAAGAAAACTATGTTTTGTTTTATGAATCTGAGTAAGAGATGTACATTTAACTATAAAGACTACGGGACTGATGCAATAATATCATTCACTATTTTTTGCCTAGTTTGTGTTTAAATGTAATATATAATTCAGAAAATGAATGTATATTCCAATAAAGATAGATTTTTTTGCTTTGATTTTAAACTGAATAATATAGCTATAGCTGCCTATCATATCAGTAAAGCTTTTAGTTTCTTTAACTGGAGAAAAATGTGCTGTGTTATATGTGATGTGCCACACCATCTGCCACCGCCCCCCATTCAAAATCCTAGATCTGCCCATGATACAGATGTTATTCCTAAATCTGCTGCTTACCCAAATAGCCAATCAGATGCTTTTCTTTTGTCCCTATGCCAAGAATAAATATTGTTGATTCTTCTTTCTTATATAATTGAAATGTAATATGGTAGGAGTTTAAGATATAGTATCTTCATTTATAAAACCTTGACATAAATTATTGAAATAAGGTTGTTCCAACTAAATGATCCTGCCAGTTTCTTTGAGAACTTTCATTTCTTTTAGGTAATTATGAATAGAGAGATTTATTAGGAGTTAGAAAATACAGATGTGAAAATGCAGGAAAAGGTCTCAGTTATTTGCTCTTCTCCAAGAATCAGAATAGTTTTCACACATAATTACTGGGCAATGCTCAGAGTTCCAGCCACTTTGGAGAGTTTCCAAAGCCAGTGGATACAGAAGTACTGAAAATCATTCATTCAAAAGTATGAGTCACCAGGAATCATTTGGTTCAATATTTTTTATTAAGTGAATCAGTGGTTCCATATCTATATATGATATGAAACATATATGATTCTGGAGAAATTGAAATAGAGTACACTGAATCCTTTCAGATAGGTTCTGGAGAATCTAGAATTCTCATTTCATCAACTGCTTTTGTCTTACATTTTTCCCCATATCAGTTTTTTTAAATATGCCCCTTAACCAAGTGTCAGTATTTCTCTTTCATTTCCTAGAGCTTTGATTTGAAAAAAAATGCTTCAGAGAGTAAGTAGTAAGTGCTGATGACTAGCTATCTTCATCTAAGCTCCCTCCTTCAATTGGAAACATTATGGTTTCAAATTATTTGAATACTTTGAATTCAGCAAAGACCCAGTCCTAATAGCCTTACTGAGCCATTTGATTTGACTGAGACTCCTGCTTTGGTCTCCTGACTTTTCTGCAGGAATACAAGACTATTACCTTGTCGTATTGAGTACAATTTCCCAAAGGTACAGGTAACACTAACCTTGTTTTGTACAAGGTTTCCTATTATAATAGTATATTTTTTCAAACATGCCATTTAAAAATGTATGATATCTTTAATACACAGTCTAATACAGACCAGAAAGAACGGGGCATTAAAGAGACAAATCAGGTGCTTACATTTTGCTCCATCTAATCTTTATAGAGCAGCAGATCTATTGCCGTTTGTGACATCACAGTCATAGTGACGTCATAGCCATAGCAAACTATATCTAATAAGACCCAAATGGAGAAAACAGAGAAAGGGTTTATTTCTTGAGCTAAAAGTAAATTTCTATGGGAAGTACATGACCTATAATACAGTTGAGCAATTCTAAACACCAGCCTATTTCTTACAAATATAATTGTAATCAAAATATCAATCATAAGGGAAGATGTTGCAAGTTTCCCTTTTATTTTTGGCCAGCTGCAATTGCAATACCATTTACTTTATATAGACCAAAAAGTTCCTCAGTGTTAAAGAAAGCATGCTGCACTATCCTGCTACAGCCTGCCTTAATTGTAATTATCACTGTGGCAGCTGTGTTTTATTTATAGAGAAACTCAAGGTAGTACCACAATAAAACTTACGTTAAATTGTTCTAAAGTCTCAGCCTACAAAAATGTTTAAATCCAAAAATTAAACCATAAAACCTGTTTGGTGTTGAATTCTTGTCAGGCAGGAGCCCTGCATACCTTGGTTCACTTAAAGCTGCTTTTGCATGTGTTTGTGTTGCCTCATGCTATCAGCTGAGTATGGGTAAGTTACTCTGCATGATTCATTCATAAACTGGAAAACCTAGCCATAATTGCTGAATCATGCTTATGAGTAATTTTCCTAGTCCCTCCCACAGCAGTTTCAATCCCACCTCCTTCAAACCAAGAGCTGGTTGCCTACTATATTTAAGCAGCTGTCTTGGAACAGAGAGCAATACAGTATACGCTTAAGACTCATGGTTTGTTATGCTTCTCTAGCAACACAAGCGTTTGTATTAAGACTTTGTTCTTTCTCACCAACTCCCTTTACTAAGGTAAGAGGACTGGAAATGAATAGAAAGCTTTTTTACCCAGGCAGTTTGTAGCATATTGCTTTATAAAATAGCATAAGAAAATGCTTTTAGAAAAAGAGTATTATCTTTAAGTACCACATAATTGGATTATTCTCAAATCTCTAAGCTGTGTCTATGGGATACTCTGTATTGGGAACAAGTATACAATACTGAAAACTTGAGGGGAGGGGAAAAAAGCCCAAACTTTAGAAGGTTGTAATAAGGTTTAAACTGGTGCTGGAGGTTCAGGATTTTAAAATATAAATGAATAAAATCAAATTACAGTATAAAGATCTGCTTGAGAAATTAATGGTGAGATGAAGGAATCAATAGCTGATGGAATTGCTAGGCTTATGACATGATAATGTTGCCTGTGTTACACCTGAGACTCAGAAATACCTGCAGACTTTTCAATTATTTATATGCTAGCTGTGCTGCTCTCCCTGAACTCTCTCCATCTGGTTTGTTGGCCTAGTTCTGTAGTTCTCATTCAAGCAAAATTCCCATTGATATTTCTGGGAGTTTTGCTCAAGTAAGGATGAAAAAACTTTCCCTCTTTATGAAATTATATTAATTATAATGCTCTGCTAACACATCTTTTTTTTTTCTCCTCCATTAATAATGTTTCAGTTGCGCAGTCTGGAAACAGTAAGTGTCTGTCAGGCTTGCTCAATGCGTGTAAAAGCTTTAATTTTAATGAGTACAACAGAATTTTTGCTCCTAGGTTGATGTTAGTTGCTTTTTTCAGGAAAGAAAGTTATGTAACGTTGCTACCAATGTGTCTTATTGCTGAGGTAATGAGAGGATGAATTTTGGAGCACTGTAATAATAGAACAGATAGTGTTTCCCAAATTAGTGGGGCACAAAGGGAGTGAAGAACATTATCAGGATGGAATCCTAAACTAGGAGCCAATACTGTGAGTTGTGCCACTGAGTACAGTAATGCTAGGCAATCTAGTTTACATAAAGGGAAACTAAAAGGGAGGATGGTCTCATGTTTCTTATTAGATCAGCCTCTCTTATTGCATGGATGGAAACAAATTCAGTATCAAATCTAGGTGAACTGCTGTGCTTGAGTAACCTTGGTGAAAGAGCAGGATTCAGCCTGATATGTTAATTTTACTGTAAGAAGTACTGGAGTAAGTCTCTAAGGGCATTTATACACATGCTCCAAGAGTTGGGGGGGGGGGGGGGGG